ATCTCTGGTTGGGTATATGCCTAGGTAGGACTGAGGTGAAAGATGGTACCTGCCTTCATGATCTCTGGTTGGGTATATGCCTAGGTAGGACTGAGCCTTTTCTTACCGAGAACTGTCGTATTTTCACAGAGGAGGTGGCATTTGAGTTGGACTTCGTATGAGATGTAGAAGGACAATCCAGGCAGGAGGCTGAGTATCAAGGTGTGCAGAGAAGTAAAGGACACGTTCAGCCCGGAGTGGGAAGAAGAGTGGGAAACTAGGCTGAGGCTGGGCCACCGAGTTCCTAGAATTAAATAGGCCAAGTGGAAAATGCATGCAGCCTACGGTGTAAATGCCAGTCGAGCTCTACGTGGGAGAGTAATGTGATCAGGGTTGTGTTTATGAATCGGGCAGCAGATTCTGCAAACAAGGACTGAACACCTATGGGGTAGCAAGCATGATGGTGGATGATGAGAATGAGTGAACTATGACAACACAGTTTCTGACTTTAGGGACCACAGTAAGCAGGAAGACAAGTTCGAAGACTTTATTGCTGTGGTCTGAGCAGAAATGCAGCCTAGATGTGAAGGTGGCCAGAGAAGTGGGGAGGAAGAAATTAATCAGTATAATATTTTTGGTGAAGAGTATCAATCAGAACTGCGATGTGCCAGTAAGCTTATCACTTTGTAACGAATTGTCCTGAAACTTGTAGACAGGTGTGTGGGGCAACTAGGCCAGGCTTAGCTGAACTTGGCTCCTGAGCTAAGGTGTCTACAGTGGTCCACTGGGGCTGGCTGCTCTTGGGGGTCTTGTTTACGTGTCTGACCAAATGTTGTCTGCTGGTGGTGATGAGGTCGCTCCTCCCAAAGCCTGGGCCAATTCACAAGGCTGTAACGTGAGGTTTCCAAGACAGTAATGCTTATGGTGGTGCAAGGTCAGCTCCACTGTATTCTGTTACCAAAGTAAGTAATAAGACCAGTTCAGATTCATGGGATGGGGAAATAAATTCCACCTCTTAGAGAAAGAACAGCAAAGTCACATTGCAATGGTTTTGGACAGAAGGAGAGGTGGAGTACTGAGGCATTTCTGTACTCACTGCATCACATGTGGTCAGGGGGCCACCAGCATTACAAACATTAGCTGTGGAATTACAAAATCTGGGGAAAGGGCCCCAGAGCCTGTGCTTTAACACGTTTTCATTTTTATTTCTGTGTGCACAGGATTGTAATTACTACAAGGCTGGACATGAAATGTTATGGGACAAGCAGGACAGGGCTGAACTTCTCAGCGTGGACTCAATACAGCCCATCTCTGGCCTCTGCTAGGCTGACTTCAAGTAAAATCCCAAGAGCCAAGGATTTTTTCCTTCATGATAGGAAGGATTTGGACTTATATTTTGAGGGGCAACATCCAGTTTTTACCTTCTTTTAAGAAAAAAAGGCACTTTAAAGTAGCAAGTCTTCAAAAATGATTAAAGGTTGATCAAAAGTTAGAGTGAATAATTAGATACTCTGAGTCAGAATATTTGAAGGTGGAATAAAGAGAATCTCCCACGTTAATGTAGTCAGAGAAAGGAAAGGCAAGAGGGCTAGCATACTTTTTGTCGTTTTATTTCTAAAGGTTTGCTGTCTGCCCCCATCAGCAGTTATACAAGGAGTTGGCAGAAGCACTTGTAACAGCAGTAGTAAGTAGCAGCAGTTAGGTGTCTTTCTCAGAAGAGAAAGAAAATAATGATTTCCTTCAATAATTGTGTCTGTGTCTCTCAGAGACATGAGCATAGAAGATGTGTTGATGAAAGCATCTTCTGATGAGCCTGAAGATTTGGGAGCAATTTTAGAGACCTGAATCTAGTTACAGGGGAAGGGTCTTACATTTGGTGGATCAGAGGAAGTTAGAGCAGAGTTTTGTAACTTTTTTCTTAATAAAGAATATGCTTATTATTAGGTTAATGTAAGTAGATACTGTTAATTTCCCTGCTTAAAAATAAATGGTATTTAAGGTTTTAGTAACAGGTTAAAAAAAAAACAAAACACATGCTCATGAGAGATTTCAGAAAGTAATCTGATAGCAGTATTAGTTTTGCATAAATTTAAATCTTATTCACTATAAAGAACTTCATGTCAAAATAACTGAGAACAGTATCCTAAATAGCAGTAAAAATAATTTAAATGTTTCTAGTACCTTTATCTTAAATAATCTTTTATGATTTTTCATCTTATCCTTAAAACATTTCAGTGAAGTTAACAAAAGAATTATTTTTATGGTAAAAAAAAAAGGGGGGGGTTTGAACCTCAGGGACTGCAAGACTTTTTTGGTAACAAGGATATTTCTGAGGTTATTTCGAAGCCAATGGTTTTGTTTCTACCTCTGCCTAACTAGTTGTTTAGGGTAGAAATATCTGACTTTATGAGAGTGGAGTTAATTTCTAAGGTTCTTTGTATATAAAACTGTCATAATTTGCGAGATCCATAATTTGTACTGAATTATTTTTTACCATCTCACCTTTTATTTTAACAAAGTCATCGATTTTTTTTCTCCCACAGTTGTATTTTCAGAATATAAAGTGCCCTTTTCTTTCCATTCACAGAAAATCACAAAGCCCCCAGTACTTGACATCTGTCACTCAGATGGCTAGTTGATAGGTCTGAAACGTAGCAGCTGTGCTTAGCATTCTGTGTTACAGTGAATACAAGTGTATCCAGTCTTTTTTATTTTATGGAACTGATAGCGTATATTGTTAGAAGATTGCATATTGAATAAATTGGGGTGGGAAAATTAAGTAGCTTGGAGAAAATTAAATAGCAGGTTAGATCCTAACCATATCATGTACTCAAATTCTAAACTAATTGAATGAAATATAAAAATAAATAAATGTCTATTTTAAAAAGAAAAGAAACCATAAAAAGATAGTGAACCTGTTAACTGTTGAGTTTTGGGTATAGGACTTTCCACACATAAAAACAATGGAAAATAGTTACTGAATAGAAGAGCAATAGGTTTTCTAACAAAAACCATGACAAAGAATTACTATTATTAACATGTAAAGAACTCACACAGTGCAATAGTTAACACTAACTTCTGTTAGGAAAATGGAAAATAATTTGAACATATCATTCAAATAAATACAAGTAGCCAATGTACAGTCTCAGCTGTGTTCCCTAGGCAGGTCTCAAACTCCTGGCCTCAAGGAGTCCTCCTGTCTTGGTCTCTCAAAGTGCTGGGATTACCAGTGTGAGCTGTGGTGCCTGCTGACACAAGCATTTCTATATGCTGGTGATGAGAATGCAAATTAGTATACCTTTTCTAGGAAACACTTTGGAAATGGATGAGTAAGAGGCTTAACCTTCAGTAATTCTTTGACTAGGAATCTAGCCCAAGGAAACTATAGAGAAATGATCCAAAATTTGTATACAAATTATTTACTTCAGAATTAAATGCAACAACATAAGCTTAAGTAGATTGAAGTTTGCACAACAGTGTGAGCAAGGGTCAAATCAGTCATGGTTGAGTTGTAAAAATGGGAAATAATGCATCTAGTAAGAATAACATTTTTGAAAAATTTGGTGCTGTGAAAATATGATTACAATATAATTATTGAATGAAAAAAATAAGGAACAAAATAGTGTGTACCATATGATCAGAACTTTATAAAATAGCCAAACTCAAACAAGTACTTTCCCATAGGAAAAAAAAAAAGTATAAAAAATAATAAAGTCCTTTTAAAGAATGTCTTCTTGGTATCTGGTACTTAATAAAGCAACTGCAAAGTCTAAGGAAAATAAAACTGAAATTAATACAAACAATTTGTAAAGCAGCTTCCTTTGCTGTTGTTGGTTATTGTCTAATGTACTATAGATCAGTTTTCTTTAAATTAGCTCCATATGCTGTTTAAAACCTTCACCGAAAATAAAATTCTGTGGTCAAACAAGTTTGGAAAACATTAATTTAATAAGTTGGTTTCTTAATTGCAGAACTAATTTGATCATCAGTAGTATAGCAGTGTCATTAGGGATCTTCAAGGGGGCATAGTTTTCAGTATTTCCCAACCTTGTTTGCATATAGAATGTAGAGTGTTTGGTGAGGGGAGGGAGGGAGGAAAGAGAGACACAGTTATTTTCGTTGAATCCTTTGAATGTAGGCTACAGACATCTTGTTACTTTGCCTCTA